TAGGAGTACCCTAATTAAGTTAATAACAATGTACTTACCTATATTGTTTAAGTTTAAAAAATTTGGCTCTCAAAAGAAATTTCAATTGTTGTACTGTTGATATTTGGCTCTGTTGACTAATGAGTTTGCGACCACTGCCCTAGGGCAAGAGAAACAAGGGAAAACAATAAACAAATGGGACTACATCAAACTAAAAGCTTCTGCACAGCAAAAGAAATCATTCTCAAAATGAAAAGGGAACCCAGTGTGTGGGAGAACACCAACCAAATATCTGATAAGGGGTTAATTTCCAAAAAATATAAAGAACTCATACAATTAAACAAAAGGAAGACAACAATCCAATTTAAAAATGGGCAAAAGACCTGAATAAACACTTCTCCAAAGAGAATATACAGATGGCCAAGAAACATATGAAAAAATGCTCAACATCACTAATCATCAGAGAGATGCAAATTAAAACTACAGTGAGCTATCACCTCACAGCTGCCAGAATGGCTACCATCAATAAATCAATAAACAACAAGTGCTGGTGAAGATGTGGAGAAAAGGGAACCTCAGTACACTCCTGGTAGGAATGCAGATTGGTGCAGCCACTGTGGAAAACAGGATGGAGATCCCTCAAAAAAAAAATAAAAATGAAAATGCTGTTTGACCTAGCGATCTCACTTCTGGAAATATATCCTAAGAATCCTGAAACATCAATCAGAAAGAATACATGCACCCCTATGTTCATGCAGCATCATTTACAATAGCTAAGATCTAGAAACAGCCCAAGTGTCCATCAGTAGATGAATGGATAAAAAAGCTGTGGTACATTTACACAGTGGAATACTATGCAGCTGTAAAAGAGAAGGATTTCTTACCTTTTGGGACAGCATGGATGGACCTGGAGATTATTATGCTAAGCGAAATAAGCCAGGCAGAGAAAGACAAATACTACATGATGTCACTTATATAATAAACTGATGAACAAATATGCGCCAAGACATGGATACATATCACAGACTGACAGATCTCAAAAGGGAGGCGATGGGAAGAGATTAACCAAAAACATATATGCTTAGCCCATGGACACAGGCAATAGTACAGTGATGGCCAGGGGTGGGGCAGGAGCAGGGCAGAGTGGGGCAAAGGGAGGGACGATGAGGGACAAGACTTGGGGGATGAGGGGACAATGGGGGGATAAAGACACATTTGTAATACCTTAATCAATAAAAATTAAAAAAATTTTTTTAAAACAAACAAAAAAACAGATTATGTTCAGCTAAAAAAAGACCAACACAGAAAATCCAAAGTAGCAAGACCTGAAAAAACAAACAAACAAACAAAAACGAGAGCCCTAGCTGGTTTGGCTCACTGGATAGAGTGTCGGGCTGGGGACTGAAGGGTCCCAGGTTCGATTCCGGTCAAGGGCATGTACCTTGGTTGCAGGCACATACCCAGTAGGGGGTGTGCAGGAGGCAGCTGATCGATGCTTCTCTCTCATCGATATTTCTAACTCTCTATCCCTCTCCCTTCCTCTCTGTAAAAAATCAATAAAATATATTTGTTTAAAAATAAAATGAAAACAAAACACACAAAAAAAACAAGAAGTTTCTCTCTCACTTAAATGTAGGCAGGCCATGGTTGATGTGGTAGCTCCATGATCATCAGGGGCCCAGGCTCCTTCTTTCCTACTTCTCCATTATCATTAACATGTGGCTTCCACCATATGGTTCAAAAAAGCTGCTCTAGCTTTAGCCATCACATTTACATTCCAGCCAGCAAGGTGGGGAGAAAAGGCAAAGTGCATGCTTACATTGTCCCTAAGGAATGTTTCTACCAGTTACCACATAACACATATGCTCACATTCTACTGGCCAGAACCAACAAGACTACATTTAGCTTCAAGGGAAGCCGGAAAATATAGTCTTTGTTCTAAGTTGCTATGTGTTTAGATAAAAATGCTATTATTATAGAAGAAATGGAGGCCAGGTACTGAGGACACCCAACAGTGTTGTACAAGGTGAAACATTTGGCTATATCGCTGCATCAACTTCATTAGGGTTGTTACAGGAGAGACCTGCCGCTATGCTGGCCAAGGATTCACTGTCAGTCCAAAACGTTTTGTTGCATTGTGCCTTTGGTCGCAGTTGCCATTCGTTAGCTCCTATTTCAATCTATTAAGCTATAATTTCAGTTACATTATTAAACCTGTGAGGTGAGAAAGATATTTTGAAATATTAATATATGCTTCCTTTCCTCTCTATATCCTCCTGCTCCATCAGTCAGCTACCTATTTTCCAGAGAAGGCATAAAATAGTAGACTGCAAATACCAAGAATAAAGTTCTTACCTTTTGACCTTCAAAAGCCCATAACCAATGGACACTAGACACAGGGGTGGGGGAGGCCAGGAGGAGGTCAATGGGGGGAAAAGGAGACATATGTACTACTATT